TCGGGACGAACAGCCTTAAGGAGGGAGCAGTGTGACATGTTGACCCCTACCTCCCCAGCGGCACATGGCGGTAACGTAGCGCTCGCGTAATAGGCGAGTCATCACCCCGCCACTCTCCCCGTGGTGACGTGCCGAGCGGAACCGAAGTGAGCCGAGCGGAGCCGAAGTTAGACGAGTCCCCGCATCCTGGTAGCTATGCAACGCGCAACGCGCGGTGACACAACACGGTGACGCGGAACCGCTTCCTACTGTGACGTGGCACGCAACAGGCACCACTGCGGCTATATAAGGGAACTGCACAGCAGTCGCCGAGTCGAGTTGTAACGTGGCCATCGCCAAAGACAGTTCCGAGTTGTAAGGTAACAGTTGCCGAGTCGAGTTGTAACGTGGCCTTCGCCGAAGACAGTTTCGAGTTAGTCAGCAACCAGTCAATTGTAACGTAACAGTCGCCGAGTCAAGTTGACATATAGCAGCAGTCGCCGAGTTCAGTAGTAGTCGAGCGAGTGTGTTATCAACAGTTCTCCAGTCAGCCGACTACAGTTGGAGTATAGCAGCCGTCGCGGAAAGAAGAACCGGACGTGTGTGTGATTGTGTAATTGGGAGTGTGTGATACAGTGATACATAGCTCCCCTACTGTAAACGTGTAGACTACTGAAGACAGAGTGNTTCAATTTCCAAAATCCTAGCTTTTTCACAACCTTCCCTATGACCCTCTTCTTAGCCATGCTGTGATGTGGGCATATTGGGATAATTTTGATTTTTAAAAATCATAATATAACAGTATTTTTCACAGGAGACATACAGTCATATCCAGGATTGTTATAGACCAATTTTCGTACTTATATCTTTTTCCAAAATTTTTTAAAAAGTTATCTTCAATAGATTATATGCACATGTCCTTTTAAATAGTATTTTACCCGTTGAACAGTATGGATTTAGAAAAAATCTGTCTACTGAGACTGCCACTTTTAATTTAATTAATAATATATTACAGGCATTGAATGATAGAAAACTGGTTGGTGGTATTTTTCGTGATCTGACCAAAGCATTTGATAGTGTGAATCATGAGGTTTTGTTGACCAAGTTGGATTTCTATGGTATACGAGGAATATTCTTTAAATTGATTACCTCATACCTGAATAATAGATACCAAAGAGTAGTAATAAAAGATAAAAAAATCTGGACAATGTTTCTCTGATTGGAAATGGATTAAGTTGGGTGTTCCGCAGGGATCAATCCTTGGATCGTTATTTTTTTTATTGTATATAAATGATTTACCAGCTATAATAAGTGACATATCAAAACCTACTTTATTCGCAGATGATATTAACTTAATATTAACTGTTCCTGATTATAGGCAGATTAAAGAAAATTTTAATACTGTCATTGGGAAGATGATGCATTGGTTTCAAGCTAATTTTTTACATTGAATGTTAATAAAACACATTGTATGTATTTTAAAACAAAAATGAGTCAAACTGATAACTCCCCAATAAGGAATATAAATACTCAAATAAACAGTACCCATTGCACTGACTTTCTTGGAGTGACACTGGATTCAACGTTATCTTGGCAAGGACATATAAACAAAACGAGTAAGAAACTAAACTCTGCTTGTTTTGTTATTAGATTTGTTAAATCACTTCTAACAATTGATGATTTAAAAGTTGTATATTATGCGTATGTTCATTCTATTATAACATATGGAATTGCCTTCTGAGGAAATGCTGTAAATAGTAAAAATATTTCTATAGTTCAAAAAAGAATTATAAGAATTATTATGAATGCAAATCCTAAAGCATCTTGTCGAGGATAACTTTGAGTCTGATGTCTGGGGTCATGCCCTCTACTAAAATTTATAGCACGTCAAGAGGTTGACCTGCTTCCACAAAAAAAAAATGTTATATCTACCCCTGCCATTTTCATAAATTAGTGGAGTCCTGGAGTGTTTCGTCTGGGACCTATCCTTCAACAACCGCTGGTGTAACTTGATCTGCGTGAGGGTTCATGTNGTGCACCTATTTGTGATTAATACTGAAAAGTATACTATAAATACACGACAGAGTTTCAACTTACACTTACCATCTGTAAAGCTGACCAAGTACAAAAAGGGTGTGTATTATATGGGTATTGTAATATTTAATCATTTACAACGGAACATAAGAAAATTATCAACTGATGTTGAGAAATTTAGATTAGTCACTAAAAATTTTCTTTTAAGGGAATCTTTCTATTCAACAAATAAATACCTGGAACGGTCTATAAATCTACAGTTAAGGTTTATTCTGAATGAAATTCATATTGGTGTAATTGTGATAAAATGTACTTATGGGCATATTTTGTATCTGTACATCATTGTTGTGACTCGAAATTGTTCATTTGTTGTATGTATGTATGTATGTCGACAAAGTTGTGAGTTACAGCTGCTTTTATCATAATATTTTATCTACTTATTATATTTTACTTTTCATTTTATATCTTATTTTAGTATATTGTGACATGTTGATCCCTACCACCCCAGCTCCACGTAGCGGTAACTTAGCGCTCGCGTAATAGGTGAGTAATCACCCCGCAATGCGCAACGCGCGGTGACGTCACAAACGGAGCCGAAGAGAGCCGAGCGGAGCCGAAGATAGCCGAGCCCCCGTAACCTGGTAACTATGCAATGCTAATCAACAGCGGTGACGTCACACTAGCAACAGCGTCCTAGGCTATACGCCACGTCACACTAGCAACAGCGCAAGGCTATATAAGTGGACTCCACAGCAGCTACGAGTTCAGTTGAAACATAGCAGCCTGCGAGTGTGCGATAACTAAGAAGTCAGCGAGCGGAAGACTTATTGTGTGCTTTCCAGACATAGTGATTGCTGTAGTACAGTTATACTCGGAGTGTGTATTTCAGGGAGACTTGTATAGCTCCCGCGTTAGTAGTACGTGAAGACAAGTGAAGACAGTGTTAAGAGATTTGTTGTAGGGTTTGTAAAGTGTGGAAACCCGTGATATTGTGATAATTAATTGTAGCCGTTATTTGTAGATTGTTAAATAAACCCAATTAACCATCTCTACGGCGTCTTCGGTAACGTAAACACGTTACANGAAGTGGGATACGAACTTACACACGTGATCAACGAGATTCGAACTCAAGACACGTTACAATATATATAAATGGACTGCTTCTATATCTGTGGTGACTGTCTTGCTTGTACGGATTGCTTGAGGTAATAATAAATCAAATCAAATCTATATAATACACACATTATTATGCTATAAATGAAGGATAAGAAATAGGATTACCAATGTATGTGAACTCGGTACCAGTGGTCACTCTCTACCAAACACTGGATTGCTGAAAGTTGATGTTGCCTGCTTGTATAGTGGGTTGTCTCCCTAAAGCAAATACAGAAAGAAATGTTGTGAGCCAAAACACTATATGATTAAAAAATATTTGTTCTTGCCCCCAGTTATTTACATGATTTTATTTTTAAAGGTAAAAATACACTTTAATGTAAATAACATAACTGGAAATCAAAGAGTTCTGGCCAAATTAAACTGATGCCCAAAGTGACATAATGGGATTGCAAGCAGAATGACTATCCTAAGTGCAATTCCTGAAAGACCCATGTTGTTAATGTTTCTGCTATCAGATAAAGCACCAGGAGCACTGGAGCTTGGACAAACCTGAGACAATATACACACCCACATAAAAGACTCACAAACTTCATAAATCATTTAAAACTATCTATACATGCAAGTTACATTTGGAATTACTGTTTTTTGGACTTTGTCTATCATCCACTATCTAAAGAACACAATATTTTGGAAACCGGATCTGTTTCATCCTTAGATAAGGGAATGAGATACCTACTCTGTTGGTTTCATTAGAAAGAGTTAACCTCAGTCACTGGATGTGACTTAATCACTTTGCTATTCAGAGATTCCAGCTGATCAGCAAAGTTTCATGCCAACATAAAACAATTATACTTTTATTTATATATATATATATATATATATATAATTAAAAGTAACCATCTGCCTGTCCATCATGCTCTGTAGCAAAATAATGATAGCAGATAAGTGTAAATACAAAATCTGTTTATTTCATGAAGAAAAACTCAGAGAAATTCTTCACTCTGCTATTACATGCACAAGTTCTAGGTCCAAGTCAAGTTCTTCCTCCATAAGAAATGAGGGCCCTTTTAGGTCCACTGAAAATGGGGAGTGGGAAGAAAAACAGCCTTCTTTTTCTCTGAGAGTTCAGGTAGAGTGACGTCATCTCAGGGAGATACGACTATGGAAACGACTTTAAGGATGGAAAGAGAAAGGTTCTCCCCAGATATAAAATAGTCATTGTAACCTGCATTGGCACTCATTTACATGGGCCTTCAAAAAGAGAGGGGGGGGGTCATTTTCGTTCATTTTCCATCTACAGTGGTCCTGAAAAGGGCTGTCTTTTTCACAATTCCACTTCTCTCATGCGATGAATATGGGGGCCATGAAAAGAGTAACCCCCTCGTTGGTGTCTCCACCTTATTGTGGTGAGGGGGTTTGAGTATGCCAAGGACCCTGAGAGCTATACCAGTGGTAGCGTAGCTACTGGCAGGGCCTCCCTTGCTGGACAGGTCAAAAGGTAGGCATCAGACGAAGAGAGACATCAAAAACTAAAAACTGATGCTGGAAGCAGCGTCATCAGCAGCGACTTGAAGCACAGAGCAAATGATGCTCGAGATGGTTCACGTTCGTATAGCAACAGGCGTGGCCAGAGTGGTTTGAATGGCTGTTGTACTGCGATGTGGAAAGCAAATGGAAAAACTACCATATTATCAATTTTCCTGGAGAGTTTCTTTCCAAAAACAGAGATAGCATGTATGCGAGATGTTTCCTCTGCAGACAAAACAAACCGGAGGGGTGGACAGAAGTGACTAGAAGACAAGGAAGAAGACGTAAGAAGATGCTGGATGACCTTGGGGACAGAAGAGGATATTTTTATTTGAAGGAGAAAGCTTGAGATCGCATTAAGTGGAGGAACTGTTTTGGAAGAGACTGTGGACCTGTCATCTGACAGATTACTGATGAATGAATGAATGAATGAAAAGAGTAATTGTTCCAGGGCAACAGTATCACCACTGTCACTAGTTCAGGCTAGCCCACTATGAAGGGAGCTTTTGACAGTATTCATCAGAAGCGCTCTGCTTCCCTGCTCCTTCATAATATCCATTCTAAGAGCAATGAACAATGTTATAGTTTTACGTGCTTGTCTCTTCAAGCATGACATCCAAAATAGCTTTAGTGCCAGTTAACCTGTTCATAATCTAGGATATTTAAATCTAAGCATGTATAATGCCAATTTAGTATAAAATTATTTTCTTTCGTCCAAACTTAATAGGCACATTGAAGACACAGAGGATATATTAAATTAACAAATACATCCACTTTTCAAAATCGATGAATTTGATTTAATGCTTTTCGCAGTTTATAAATGCTACTAACCCTGTCCCATTTGGACGTGGCACGTTCCTTCTCAAACTTCGCATACTCTCTGCGATCATGAATTGAAGTGACAATCTTCCAAATTAGAAGCAGCAACAGGCCAAATAATACAATTCCACCAATCACTCCAAATATGAGGGCTGGCAAAAAAAAAAAGTTTTATTAAATACAGAATGAAAACTCAGTGGACTATACAAAAGAAAACTAAGAGCACAAACAAAATTGGTTCAATGTCCCTTGCAAGTATGTATTCTGAAACACAGGTTCCAATAGTGTATCTCAAGCCAGTGTAATAAATAACATGTTTTGGAATTTTACAAAGTTATGGCCACTCCTCCATTCTGTACAGCAGTGAAAACTGGGGTTTCATTCAAAGAACATTAACGGTCTACTGAGGCAATACAAAGTACTATTTACAAATGCCAATAATATTCTTCAATAAACAGTACATAAGATTACAATTAAAGAGATGTGGAACACATATGTAGTAATGGATGACATAATGTACCTAAAAGTGCATTAAAATATAGACAAAGAGAATGGAGAAATCTGGGATATTTGCCTATTCTATGACATGCAGATTAAGAAGCCTAACAAAACTTCATGAATATTTGGACAGATGGTTCCAAGACCAAGTAAAATTTAAACCTCTCACCCCATGCCTGTGTGTAAAGAAATAGATATGAGCATATCTATTGCATATGAGCCTAAAAAGGCACTGTTTCCATCATAGGAGGGTTGGAACGTTAATAGCGGCAACTATTTATTTACAATTGATACAAAATAGATGCATGTTTCGAAGTTTTACTGTCCTTCAATGTAGTCACCAGCATTTAGTACAACCTGTTGCCAGCGATGTGGAGGTCGTAGGATACCTTTAGCAGCACCTGTTGTGTTGATAGTTTGAATGGAGCGGTCTACTGCCTGAAGAATCTCTGACAGTTCTGAAGCGAATGCCACGAAGTGGTTCCTTCATCTTAGGAATCAAGTCGAAGTCACAAGGGCTTAAGTCCTTGGAGTATCGTGGACGGTACAGCACTTCCCAGCCCCACTGATCAAATAAATCAGCCACAGCTTGTGCTGCATGCGGCCGAGCATTGTCCTGAAAATGATGGGTGGGTTCTGCAGAAAGTGTCACCGCCTCTTTCTCAAAGCTGGTTGCAGGTTGTGTTCCAAAAATGAACAGAAATACTGCACATTGACGGTCTGCTGTCAGAGAACGGTATGCGTTAGGATAACACCATCACAGTCGTACATGAGAATTACCATAACTTTCACAATGTTGGGGTTCTGACAAACTTTTGATTTTCGTGGTGACCCGTAATGACGCCATTCGTTCGATTGGTGTTTCATTTGTGGCTCGTACGATTTTGCCCAGGTCTCATCCAACGTAATGATATGGCATAAGAAAGCCTCTCCTTCGCGCTCATAGCGCTCCAAGTGGTTACAAGCAGCGTCGTATCATAGCCATTTCTGCGTTTCCGTCAAATCATGCGGAACCCATCGTGATGCAGTTTTTCTAATGCACAGGTGTTCCTTCAGAATGTGAAGCACAGTCGTAGGCGCTAATCCTGTCTCTCGGGAAAGCTCACAAATCGTATGGCATCGATCACTCTCCAGTAACGCAGAAGGACAACCTGGCCAACGCATGTCTGCCACATTTTGGCGTCCCTCATTGAAGGCTTTTACCCACCTTGCCACTGTTCTGTAAGGCAATGCAGATTCCCTGCAAGCCTCTTGAAGACGTTGATAACACTGTCGTGCTGTACGGCCTCTGGCACATTCAATCTTTATCCAACTCCGTTGTTCCTGTTTTGAAAACATCGTGACAACACTACATTAGACAGCCAGCTAACACAAGGCTCTGTTCTTCTCATCACTGCGCATGCACGTGATGTGGGAAGGGAGAGTCCATTTGCTCTGAGGTAAGGTAGGTATGTAACTAACATGTGGTATAAGCGACATTATTTGGTTCCGTTCCATGGCGTCTCTACAGCAGTGTTGACACTATTAAAGTTCCAACCCTCGTATATTGTGACAAACCAGCTACACTCCTCACATCTGCCCTTTAGGTACCATGATTATCATAGTTACAAAGGTCTGTGACAATATCACTTGGTATCTCTCACGCGGTAATGTAGTTGGTTGAGGGTGTACGCTACAAGCCAGAAGGTTGCAGGTTTGAGTCCTGATGAGATCATTGAATTTTTTTCAATTGGCCTAACCTTTTCAGCCGCACTCTGACCCTGGGGTTCACTCAGCCTTTAACAGAAATGAGTACCAGGAATTAAGTAAATAATTTTCCTGGGGAGTAAAGCACAGCCAGCGAGTAGGCTGACAACCTTACTGCCATGTTTCAGCCAACTGTCTAGATATTGTGGGACCCTCAACGTCTCACAACCCTATGGGCCTTCACGGCCTGGTACAGGGATAGCTTTACTTTTTTACTTTTACTTTTTATCTCTCACTGACTGTTCCCACTCACACGCCCTCAATCGCTGACCCTCTGTAATGCTCCTGCTCCCATTCCATTCCTTCCCACCTCTCCCTCTCTCACACATACACAGACAATATCTTATTTAGTCTCAAACAAATACAAAGAAAAGAAAACACAAGGGAAACCTAAAACACTAACATGGGCTTTCCTTGTGGTATTGCCAGATCATGCATTACCTGTAGTGGGAGGAAAAATAGCAGATGTTCAGACAAATGGGGGAGTCACAAAAACAAGTGGAACTCCATAAAGCACAACTGATTTCATTAAGGGCCTTGACTCTGAAGCCCAAGTTGGCACAGCACAGACTTTCAAAGGGAAGGTGCAATATTTATAAAGTGCCAAAAGCAAGTGAAAGGAATTCTGATGGAGAACTGTGCTAAGGCTAGGGCCTCTGAAGCAAGGCCCTTGCAACCTAACCATTTTCCCAATGAATTATGAAAGACTTTTTATGTCATTCAAAATGTAAACAAATTACAAACACATCATACCACTTTCTATGCCATACTAAAATGCAAATAAATTTGAAATTCATTAAACTGTTTTTATATGTTAAAGCATTAAATGTTACTGGGGTGCAGCCACCCTGGCCCTTAAAGATGGGCAGCCCCTTAAGAAAATAATAACTTGAGTTTCATAGAACTTACCAAGCACGTTAACATCATTGCCACATTGCTTTGTACGTTGAACCTCCACTGTGCTGTTGCCAATCAGGTAGCGAAAAATAAATGTGCAACCTTGATCATCTGGAAAGCTGCATATTCGCAACTGAGTATTGCTTTTCACTTCCTCTGGATCTGCTCAATGCAACAAGAGAGTACTGTATTATACATATATAGAAAATAAACAACCTAATCATAAAAGAAAAATTTTGCAGAAAAGCGAAAATATCAGGCAGCTCCAGTTATATAAGCAGTTGTCCATTAACTTTCTGATTTCACATCATACTCCACCAACAATTAGCAAATAACATTCCAGTTCAGTGTTAGAGTGGGTATGTCCATTAAATATCTGCGAAAATTAAACTTAATTGACCTCATGGCACCCATCTCATCTTCCTTGGTTTAATCATCCTAACAGCCTTTGGCAAATATTACAAAGCTCCCATTAAATAATTATCTCCATGATCTCTTTGGATGGACATCTCTAAATGAACATTATATTTTTCTTTAGCAACCATCCTTCAATTTTAAATTGATATTCAACTTAACATTCACCACCATCTTCACTATACTTTTATCAATGCAATGAAAAGAAATAAGACATGGTGTGTACCTATGTAATCCACCTCCACAGTTGTAATGGATGTATCCTTGTCACATTCCTCTTTGTTGAGTGTACCTGTCTGAAATACTTTACATGCCACAAGGCTTTCATACTTTTCACACTGCTGGCCAGGACACGACTATCAACAAATAATAATAATAATAATAATAATAATAATAATAATAATAATAATAATAATAATAATAATAATAATAATAATAATAATAATAATAATAATAATAATAATAATAATAATAATAATTCAATTCAATTCAATTCTTTATTATTTATGTGCCAAGTCAACAGCCGCAAGGCCAATTACAGACTTAGCACATTGTAGATGAAAGTAATTACGTGTAAATTATACAAACATTAGACAAACACATTATAAGTCAAAAATAAGTTACAGGCAATTTATGAAGAAAAGTAAACAAACAAGCTAATAAATGATAATAATAACAATAATAATAATAATTCCATTATCATAAAACTAAGTGTTATTTAGAAGTGCAATAGAAACAAATATTTAATTAATAATAATAATAATAACGAAATTAATAAAAATAGTGATACTAGTAAGAGCTAAATTAGTTCAGTATAAGATATGTTTCATCAACAGAGTTTTTGGTCCAAAGACGTCAACGTTTCTACAGACAACATTAGCAGCAGAAGCGCATCTAGCAGAGGGGCAATTTTTACTAACAGAACAGACATTGAACATATGAAAATCTCGGATATATAGAACAGGGACCCGAAGGCCGACAATTTCCAAAGCAGAAGGGCAAAATACAGAACCACGATAAACTTGAATAAGGAAGAGCGCATCAAGGTGATATCTCCTCTTATGCAAGGTGTGCAATTTCAATTGTTCTAAAGCAAAATCGTAACAGTAACCTACTTGAGGAAAAAAACGTTTAAAACAGAGAGCCGTAAATTTCTGCTGAATGCGTTCTAGTTTGTTTGCATCAGTTGACGTAATGGAATTCCAAACTACTGAAGCGTATTCAACCTTGGATCTAACTAAAGTAAAATATAAAATGAACATGCATCCAAGGGTTGAATAGTTAAATGTGATACTGCGAATTATACCTAGCATCTTAATACACTGCGAAAATACAAAATTAACATGATCATGAAAATGAAGTTTAGAATCAAGGTATACGCCCAAGTCTTTGACTGAATATGTTCGAGTTATAGTGAAATGAAGAAGTTTGTATTCGTATATCAAATAGTTAGTTTTTCTAGAGAACGTTATAACTTTGGTTTTGTCAGCGTTGAGTTTCATATAGTTCGCTGCACACCAGCTACGTATACAGTCAACGTCACATTGCAGAAGATTACAATCTTCGGGACAGCTAATAGCACGGTAAATTTTAATGTCGTCTGCAAAGAGTAGGTACCTGGAGTGCTTAATTGAATCACACAAGTCGTTTATGTAGACATTGAAAAGCAGAGGGCCAAGAACAGAGCCCTGTGGAACACCGGACAAAACTTCAAAGGGCGATGAAATAGTTTCACCGATACGGACCCGCGATTGCCTGTTGGTTAGGTAACTGCGTATCCAGTTTACATAACCACCAGAAAATCCAAGGGCACTCAGTTTGTGAAGAAGCAAAGAGTGGGGAACGAGGTCGAAAGCAGAAGTTAGGTCAAAATAAATGGCATCCACTTGACGTTGAGAGCCAACTAAGGGAGTAATAAAATCAAGATACGTTACTAGATTGGTGGTGGTGGATTTACATTTTGTGAAACCATGCTGGCAGGGATTTAATTTCAACTTGAGGTCATGTGAAACATGGTTATGGATAACATATTCAAATAATTTCGAAAAATTGTTAAGAATCGAAATAGGTCTGTAGTTTTTGACTGAGGCACTGTTGCCTTTCTTAAAGATAGGAACAACTGCCGCTTGCTTCCATAATGCAGGAAAACACTGCTGAGAGAGACTAAGATTGAAAATATACTTCAAGACAGGTGCGAGTATATAAGAACAACCCTTAATGACAAATGCTGGGATGTTATCAAGACCGACAGATTTGGATGGTTTCAGACGTGCAATGGCTTTAAAAATGTCTGAATCAGAAACAGGTGATAAAGATAGAGATCCCAATGATGATGATGAAAGGGAAGGGAACACCCCTGGAGAGGAACTATTATATACTGACTGAAAGTGATCAGCAAATGCGTTGGCAAAATAATAATAATGACGGTGGTAGTGGTAATGATGATGATGCTCAAAATCATAATCATAACAACAACACCCACAGCAGCAGGAGGAGTCATAAATAAAACTTCACTGGAATAGTGGCATTATCACTGATGTCAATTATGATTCCTAGCAACAGTTACCCATACTTTTTATGCACAGATGCAACAAGGAATAAAACTACTCTTCCAGATATTAACAAGTCACTTCATCCCCTTTCCTTCCAATGAACCAACAATGACAGTGAAACTGCACATGAGATTATGAACTTCAAATGTAGGTCAAGTTCACTGAAAACACTATCAAGAAAATCAGCAAAATATAAGTAAGATGTGGTGGGAGTGTAGGAGCTCTGAGGGAAGACTCCTGGTAATGAACCAGCAGATAATTATGTTTTTTTCATCATTTATGACCAGACTCTTATACATAATGGAATCATATTTACACTAAAGAGGGTAGAATTGCTTACTGATATGATGTGGTGTGTAATATTTAGAAGTCGTTGGTGTGATACTGTTCTGAATGTACATTATGGTCCTAAAATTTAAAAATAAGTATAGCTTGAACCTGCCACATATGTAATAGTAGACCACGAAGAAATAGCACACATTCACACCAGCTTAGTGGTTAAAGGATGTGCTGTACAAGGAACATGTTGTTTTTCTGGATCATTAATACAACTGAATTGAACCCTTCTGGTGTTAACAATCTCACCGAACAGTTGTCTGCATTTTGTTATACTGGAAATAAAGTGTAGCCATTTTTTGTTCATTATAGCTGCCTAGAAAGAAAAGTGCTACAATGCAAATAACATTCTTTCCTGGTATAATAAATGTAGCTTAACATTCCTGCTTCATATCTGGAAGGTCTCAGCCCTGAGGTTGGCTAACCTTAAGGTTTTGTGGTTTTTCACCATCTCTCCTGGAAAACTCAGGGATGTATCTTGAAACAGGCCATAACCATGTTCTCTTACATCTTTTCCAATTCACTGTTCACAGATATCCTCCTATTTGACACCATTCAATGTGTGCAGCTGAGGAACCATTGTTAGGAACTAACCAGAATATGCATATAATACTGTAAAATAAAAATTAAAAGTAAACTGAATACATGTCCTAACATAAAGAGCACACATCGCTTAATTATACACTCAGGTTCTTGCTGAAAGTTAATAAAGTTTATGCACTCACCGGACACTCATCGCAATATTTCCCTGAATAGTTTTCTCTACACTTGCAGACCCCGCATTCACATGATCCTCTGCCCATGCACTCTTCAGCAGAATCAGGTGAATAACAGTTCTCTTTGCTACCTGGGCACTCGCAGGCTTCACCTGACCATCCCCAACGACACACACATACTCCACACTCGCATGTCCCATGATCTGGTCCTGAGCATGGTAACCCACCACTCCGCCGGCATGTGAAGTTATCACATTCGCAGAACTTCCCATAGTAGATCTAGTACAACACAAGTAATATGATGCTGACCTATGTTTTGGTGCTCTATAATTGAAGGTAAAGGCGAAAAAGTGTATTCTAGTTCAGGGTACAGTTTCAAAGTGCATTCTTTAAGATTTTATAAATCTCTGTGGACATACCATTAGGAGGCGAAACAAGGAACACATACAGAATTTTGGTGAGGAAACAAATTTAAAAATGTATATTTGGAAGCCTGGGGAGGAGATTTAGAAGATAATATTAAGCCTATATGTATGTAAACTGACCTAAAAAAGAAGCAGCAAGAATAGAAAGTTTAGATTGTCATTTTTGAGTTATGACAAGATGTAGTCTTGTAAGTGATTATCTATCTATGAAACAACATGGTCTCATAACCGAGATCACAGACTAAATACTCATTGCCATGAAAACCTCAAATTTTATAAATAAAAAGAAGTTATAGGCATAAGTTTGAGAGCAGAATGGAGGTATTATTTATTGAAAGCAAGTGAAAAAAAAATTAAGAAAGTGGAAATACTATGTGTCATTGCTTCTATATGTTATTCATTAATCTGTAGTTCTGCATAACTGATAATTCGCTTGTCATTTGTGTGTTTAAAAAATAGATTTAAAAAGCAAGTCATCTGTTCACCACACATAACAGCACACAAAATACAGGACCAACATGGATAAAACAGGGTACAGAAGGTCAACACTAAATTTTATCCAGCCACTTTGTTTTTGTTTTATTTTGGTTCATTATAAGAACCACATTCCTAAGGGCCCAAATTAATTTGATTTATTTTGATTCATTTTAATTGATTTTTAGACACACATTATTGAATGAGCTAAACACATTCCTAGGCATATCTCACAAGGTAGTTGCCTGTTGATACAACTCAGAGTTGTAGGTATTCATGAAACACAATTTGTTATGTTCAACTCAGTCTTTGCATAAAGCTCAATGATTCTAGAAAATCATTGGTATAGTAACTATAATTATCAGTACCTGATATCAAAAGCATTAAAGGTCCAGCAACTGCCTTGCCATGTGGCCAGTGTGTGCTCAATTATATGTAACTAAAGTTCAGACAGGTGTTGAGTGTACAAAAAACATTCCTTTTTAATTCCACTCTCATGTTTTTCCATTGTTGTTGGAAGGATTTAATAATGCAGTCTTGTACATAACATGGTGTCATGATGAGAACTTCATGAATTTATACAGCATGATTCTATGGCTAATTTTGATAATTATGTTTTAATTTTTGGATTAACACTTTCTCTGCTGCAGGGGCTAACACAAACTTGTCATCTACATAGGTTGGATAAAAAGTAGTGGCAACACCTCTATAGTTCTGAAATGACTATATTACCTGAGGTAAACACACTTACATTCCTTCAATATAATCGACCCCCATGTGTTCCACCTTCTACCAAATTTGTGGAAGGCATCATACACCATCAGCACATCCACTTCTGTTGATGTCCAGCAGTGACTGCCCTACAGCACGAATAATCTCCTCTCTTGTGTTGTCATGTGTCCCTCGCAGTGGTTCTTTCATTTTGGCAAAGAGATCATAATCGCATAATCGCATAATCATAATGCCTCCCTTCACAGAACAATTTCACCTATCGTGCCACTGCGCGATATGGCAAAGCAGCATCACCACATGCTTCTCGCAGTCCCTGATAACAGTTTTGTGCACTACAACCTCGTGCAACTTCAATTTTTATCCAGGAGCATTGTTCTTGATTCGTAAATACTCGTATGTTGTTAGGGTGCTTGAGCTGGGCTCCTGCACTTCAAGACAATGCACAATGCAACTCAATGAAATACAACCAGAGCCACTCACTGCACTAGTTCAACTGAATTTCTGCTAGCAGCTACAGCTGGCGCTAATGCCACCTGACGCACATCTTTCATGTTACAGCAGTGTTGCCACTACTTTTTATCCAACCCTTGTATATCAAGCGCTTTCCCTAACTGGTATGGTTTTACACCTCAGAATTAATTTTTTGGTACTGAATATAATAAAGCCATAAAAAAGTAATGTGTTTTTCACGGTACACAATGTAATCTCAATCTGTAGTAGCAAAATGCTAAGATAATTTACTCAAAGATTAATTTTATGAACTTACAAAATGTGCTCTTTTCATTTTGGCTGAAAATAAAGTACCAGCTGGAGATTATGGTCTTCTACTGCCTCCATTTTCATGGTAGAAACCTTCAAGATGGAGACACTGAATTTCTCGAAAATGTTGGCACCTTCCACCAAAACTACATGGTGTCATATCCCAGAAGATTTTAATCTTGATATTTACTTCCCTGAGAATCTAAAAGCTCACAGAATACCAACTGCTTTCAGGTGCAGATCTATGTAGACAATGGCGGCTCATATCTTCCGTTGTGGGGTTAATAATTGAAAGTCATGCCGACAAACTTTTAAAGATTATAATATTTTAACATTGGCAGCGCTATACATTTTTGAAGTGATATGTTTTATTAAAAAATATAAAGACTCTATGGCAAAAAATGTGGACATCCATAATTACAATACGTGAAGAAAACTAAATTTACATGTAAATCATTGCAATACAGTTCTTTTTAAGAAAAGCATTATAAATATGTGTATCACCTTGTATAATATGGTCCCTGAGCAGATAAAATTAAAAAAAAAAAATGTTTACTCTTTTAAGAGGGACTTAATTCCTTGCTGTTGAAACATTCCATTTATTCCGTTGATGAATTTATGTCCCTAAAATTCTGAAGTGAGTGTGTTATGGTTTTACGTTATGACAAATATCTTGTCCTCACTTAATATATAAAAGAAAATGTTGGATGTTGGGTTTCTTTTGGTGTTGAATTGTTGAAAGTGGGAAGATGTACTGTATGATTGATTTGTATGAAATCTGTAGGTAATTAAGTTTCATGGTATTGCTGACTCATGTATGATATGTATGTTATTTTAATATGTAGTAATGGGCTTGTTCTATATCCAGAGGTTGTATCTCCAAATATGGATTCTCGGAACAAATAAATTGTATCGCTGTAGTAATGAGCCATCTTCAGCAGTTGATATATGTACATATGGTCAGAAGCCAACTATTTGACCCTCTTCTGGGCCATCTCGGTTCTGTCCAGTCCATACTATCATACCCTATCTCTCTGAAATCCATTTTATTATTATATCCTAACCTACACCAAGAGGATCTCTCAAATACTGTCTCAAATTTTCAATTCGTTCCACAGACTTATGACAGAAAAAAAAACTACAACTTATTAATGAATGTGCACAAATTCTGGGTAAAGATTTTTGCAGTGGTGACAAACACAGCTTCATAAGATGATTCCCCATCTTACCTCATTTGGATTTGGGCGTATGTTGCAAGTACAGACGCCACATTCACATACACCAAATCCTGAGCATATTTCAGAGTTATTGTTCATTCGGCAAGCATTTTCATTCAGATGCACAGGAGTTGCAGAGTTTCTCTCACATTGACACTGGTCACCATACCAGTTACCATTGCAGACACACACTCCACATTGCAAATTACCATTCTTGGAGCAACCGTTAGAATTCTTTTCATAACCCTAAAACAAGAGAAATTAATGGTAGTGACCAATGTAAATTATGAAACCTTTCCTTCACTATCAGATCTTTTGGCTGATACCAAGATAACTCATTCGTTTTATACAGTGGATGAATATCCAAATAGATAACTTTTATTATTGTTGTATTCATTGTACATTTAAATTTACATTACATTTACATTTATTTATCATTTCATGGATCCAGTCAACTCTCCATAGGACTGGAAACATGTCACATATTACAAATTCATGATGACTACACATCATTCGTCCTTGGTCCAATAAAATATAAAATCAAGCCTGAGACAGAATAGCTCAAGTTGTCAGGACATCACAATCAGGACCACAATCAAATTCACACCTTGCCATTCCACACACGCTGGCAAACCATTTCATCCAAACAGTTACATTATAAAATATTAAAATTGATAACAAAAACAGACATCGTACATACTACTACACTTACAACAAGCAAGTCTCAACAATGTATAATTCACGCACAGGGACCATTTATTAACTGTTAACTTTTGAGTCACTTACATGCTCGACAAATTCATCAATTGAGTAAAATGCATTACTTTGCAAATAATTTCATACAATAAACCTAAATTGCTTTTATCATTTTTTAAAACTGTGATATTTGACGGTAGAGTACTAAATATTCATATTCATATTCATATTTATTTCAAGTTCAGTTGATCCATACATGAGTTGAAAGTACAAACTGTTGGATATAGAACGTGTCACAAAGTAAATACTAGTCTAAGTTCCCAATCATTGGAACAGAGTCAAAATACCCGATAAGAACGATATATGATACAGTACACACATTATTAAAATTTCATTTAAATACAATAAGATAAAACCATAAATTAAAAGTACCAGTAACATATGTATTCAACAATGACTTTAACATGAAGTATAAAAAAAAAACAAAAAACTAATTACCNGATGTATTTTCCCAATATATTATTCCATATTTCACCAGTGAATGATAATATGCAT